GATCTAGTATGTGGTATTCTTTCCCAGAGTTTTTGTTTTTTGTTATTTTTTTGTTTATTTCTGTAGGCTCTTTCTGTACTGAGGATCAGGCTGAGTTGTAAACCTAATGTCATCTTATGTTTTATTCTGAGCCTTTCCTTAGGCATGTATAGTCACTTTTAATTTTTCCCCAAATATGCAGTTGTTTTTGAATGTTCTAGTCTTTTTTTAAAAAAATATTTTTATCAAGCTCAGAGAGGAAGGGAGAGGGACAGAAGCATCAATGATGAGAGAGAACCATCGATTGGTTGCCTCCTGCATGCCCCCTACTGGGGATCAAGCCCGCAACCTAGGCATGTGCCCTTGATCGGAATCGAACCCGGACCCTTCATTCTGCAGGCCAACGCTCCATTCACTGAGCCAAACCGGCTAGGGCAGAATGTTCTAGTCTTTAATGTGAAGCTCCTGAAAGGAGAAAACAACAAATGAAGGACAATTAAGAAGAGGGAGTGTCCTTTTAAATCTTCTGGAAGTCACGGCAGATGGAGAGGGAGGGCTTGCAAAAATGGGAGGAGGTGCAACAACATTTGCCCACTTCTTTGTCTGCACCTCTGTGATTAGAAGCAGCAATCAGAAATCAGAGTGCAGATCCCCAATATTGGAGGACAGGGTCATTTTTACCTACCTTAGCTCCCACAAGCTGTGTGCAAGCTGTTCCAGGAAGAAGTACACAGCTGCCTGCCTTGTGTCTGGTGGTGGTGTATGGGTAGCTCCTACTGTGCTAAAAGCTATACTTGACAGATATTAACCATCTAGGCCTTTCCCTGAAAGTTGCAAGCCTTCAACAGACCCCAGAGTTTCCAACAGTGTAGTTGCCTAGGTGGAGAACAGATTCCTGGTGCTTCTTGCTCCTCCATCTTCCCCAAATCATGTGTGTGTGTGTATGTGTGTGTGTGTGTGTGTGTTTACACAGTTTGGAATTTATTTTGCACTACAGTATGAAAAAAGTAGCTAAGTCAAGGGTGAGCAAACTTTTTCCTAAAGGGCCAGATGGTGACTCTTTTAAGTTTGTGGGTCATTAGACCTGTGGGCCATATGTTTCTGTACTGAGTTGCAGTTTCTCAGCTCTGCCATTGTAGCACAAAAGCAGCCATAGACAATCAATCAATCAATCAATAATAAAGCAAGCAAGCAAGCAAGCAGTGACACTATCTCAAGAAGCTTTATTTACAGTAACAGACAGTGGACTGGATTTGATGCATAGGCTGTATGGAGTTTATCGACCTCTGCACTGAGTTCTTCATCCCTGTCAAAAATTGAAGAGTCTGAAATTTTACTATACTTGAAAGCTAACGAGTTAGCCTGCCATAGTTTCATGGATAGTGGCAGAGGATAAGGACAGTTTGTTACTCATAATAATAGCAGTAGCCAGAATATCATCATTTTCTCTGGTTCTTGAGCCCTAGTTCTAGTAAGCAGCACTGTGGGGAGCAGATAACATCTGTGCATACGTTATAGGAGTGGACCCCCACACTTAGGGATTATGAATCTTTTATAATTGGGAATAATTCGGCTAGGCCTTTCCCTTTGAGAGACATGTCTTTATTATATTGGACAGTAAGCATAGCTATCATTTTGCTCTAGAAGGAGATGCTATCTTCCAAGGCTATTCACTATACAAACCCTTTTGAAGAGAGAGTCTAGAATAAAGACAGTCAGTGCCTCTTCTCTCAAGACATTCAGAAAGACCCATCGAGCATTGTATGCCTCCCTTCTTCTCCCTGTACCTCTGTTTCCAATTGATGTGCACAGAGCCTGCCTAGTGGTGTCTTGCCTTCATTCATTGTGGCTCTGCTGGGCTGCAGTTGTATTTTTCCAGGCTCTTATTTACCTCGAGGATAAGAATTCATGGATTATCAAATCTGAGGCTATATTTTCCCTTCTCGATTCTTAACATGAATTCTAAGCATGTGCTGCTCTCCAGTCTTCTCTTTTCCACCTTGATCCTCCATTAATTTTCAAATGTGCGAGTACTTCCTTTGAAAATGTAATGTCTGAGGACTTCAGGTTTGGACAAGATGGCATAAGCTCTTTTCTTCCTGCGCCTTCCTAAAACGCACAATTCTAAACCATGGAAAACACAAAAGGGAAGCAAACAAGAAGTCTGAAAGGCGGTAAGAGGAAGTCTGGCTGGTTTGGGACCCAGGACCGAGGAACAACAGAGCAGCAGGATGTCTTATATCTCTCACCTAAAGAAGAAGGCAACTCTGACCCCAAGTTTCCTGATCCTCGATCTTGCAACAGTTGGCCACCAGGGAGGCTCATTCTTCCCCAGTATAGAATGGGAATCTCTGTTACAAGATCAGGGAAGACCAGTACCACTGGGAAAGGGGTTCGATTGGGAGCCCTGTTAACAATAAGCAGTTGGACAAGTACTCTCCTTTCCTGCTAGATATGCAGTCTCCCTCTCCTGCCAAAAGATATCAGGGTAGCCAAGTGAAAATGAAATGATGGAGATCCCTCCCCACCACCCTATCCCTGTAACAAGTGAGCTGGCCGGAGAAATGCTCTGCTTTCCTGGGCCTGAGGCTTCCTTCCTTCACTGAGGGATACCATGGCGACTGGAGGCTTTTTCTTATTCATCATGTGCACAGCATGCTTGGGTATATTAACTACTCAGTAAATAATGAAAATATGCACGTCTTCAACTGTTTCTCCATTGGCATGATAGTGGAAATTACTCTGTGTTTGGCATTTGGTGGACTTTTAGTTTTCAATGCTATTTATAAGATTTGAATGTTTTCTTTGCCTTCTTGAATATTTTATTGGAAATTTTGAAGAGTTTGTAAACACCATTATCCTGAACAATATTTTTCTTCCTTCACTCCTTTTTTTGCTCTTAATGCAAGTACATTTGACCCTTGAACAACACGGAGGTTGTTCCCTGACCCTGACAGTCAAAAACCTGCGTGTAACTTTTGACTCCCTCAAAACTTAAACTACTAATAGCCTGTTGTTTACTGGAAGCCTTACCAATAACACAAATAGTCGACTAACACATATATTGTATGTTATATGTATTATGTACTGTATTCTCACCATAAAATAAGCTAGAGAAAATCAAAAGTTATTAATAAAATTATAAGGAAGAGAAAGCACCTATGCAATATTTATTGAAAAAAAATTTCTCATCTAAGTGAACCTGCACATTTCAAACCTATTTTGTTCAAGGGTCAACTGTACTGCAATGGAGGGGGAAGTCCTTTTATCAGTCCTTTCTAATTAACTGACATACTAGTAGTAATCAAGCTGGTAGATTTTATGTATAATTTTCTTCATTGTGGACAGCATTATAATATTAGTACACTGACGTGTGATGTGTAATGTGTATACACATACATATGTATAAAGGCTACCTAACTGTGTCTCCTTGTTTGTTGTTGCTGTTGTTAATACCATCATACTTCATTTACGTAGGCTTAAACTCTCATTTATCTTAGATGACTTTCTCTGTTTTGCCCCTCTGATCGGGAATGCCAGTGGTTGTACCTCTTTAGTACCCTATTCCTCTCCTCCATTGATATCATGGGCTGTCATTATTCTCTTGTGTAAACTCCTCACAAGTTTCCCTTTTACTGAAATCATGCCAATGTTACTCAGAGCTTTTGGACAAATCTTTCTTATGATACCTTTTAAAGCTTGATATCATGTGACTCCAACCCTAATTAATCTGCAGTATTTCTTCAAATTACCCTTTCTTACTGTTGTGGTTTTACCTCTCACGTATTAAACAGTGTTGTTTTTTTTAAAATAACCTACTTATTATACATGCGGCTTGTCTCCTTAACTGCCCCAATATGTTCAAATTCTACTGTTCAGTTGATATAGAATATGCCCCAGGATGGATTCCCTTACCCACCCTCCTTTATTCAAAGCAGAGATACTCTTTCATATGACCGGCTTCTGCATTTTCTGGGGACTGTGTTATCTATCCCTTTGCATTAAGTATTTTTGAACTGATACTATTTGAGACAGTTGGACGGATTTGAAAAATAAAAGCATAAATGATCCTTCCTATAGAGCTTTCAGAGTTAATGAATCTTAGGTTTATTTCATTGGGTTTTAGAAAATGCAAATCATTATCAGAACACTATAATGCTATAGTGTTAATTTTCTGCATCGTGCAGATGCTATTAGGGCTATTTATGGTTATAAAACACATGGTTTCTTTAAAATGATGTCTTGGTGTTTCTGTGCTTTGAGGATTTTATTTAAATTATCATTTGTTTTTTATTCACAGTCAATGCTCCGAGGGAGAGGAGGTTGCTATAAACATACATTCTATGGTATTGAAAGCCATCGTTGCATGGAAACCACCCCGAGCTTAGCATGTGCAAATAAATGTGTCTTCTGTTGGCGGTAAGTTAAAATTAATGGCCATGGTGGCCAAATATGTAATGATCTGTAATAATCAATTTCTGCCCAACACGACACTCAAATGTACCTAAAGCTTTGATGTTCCTGTAATCAATCCCTTTTCCATTCCTAATATTATATATTAGTGCATATGTTTGTTTTTCTTGACAAATTTTATCAGGGGCTTATCAAGTTTTTTAGTTTTTTTGAATAACTTGATTTTAGCTTTATATATTCTCTTCATTATACTTTTATTTTTTTGTTCAGTAACCTACTAACTATTGTTTTTGTTTCTCTGTTCTTTTTCTAACTTAAATTGGACCATTAACTCATTAATATTCAATCCTCTATAAGTCTTTAATTGTAAATTTCCCTCTAAGTATTCTTTAGCTACATTCCATGGATTTTGATTAGTTAATTATTCAATTATGAATATTTTTTGATTTACATTATGACTTCTTTCTAACTCATGGATCAAAGAAATATTTATTTTAAAAATTGCACATAAGTTAGATTTTGAGGTTATATTTTTTGTCATTAACTTTCAACCAAATGGTATTATTGTTACATGGTTTATACATGATTTCTAATACAAATTATTTAAAATTTATTGAGGAGTGCTGTCTGCTTAGTATATAGTCAGGTTTTAAAAATCTATTCTATGTCCTGAAAAGAGTACATTTTTAATGGTCAGATATTAAAACAGCCATAAAATCTATTCTTTGTTACTGTTCGTTTTATCATTATTTTGTAGTCCTTATTTAGTAGTCCTCTTTACCCATAGTAATGTTTGTTGCCTTAAAATGTGTGTTTTCTGATTGTAATATAACTCTCTTTTTTTTTTTAATATATTTTATTGATTTTTTACAGAGAGGAAGGGAGAGAGACAGAGAGTTAGAAACATCGATGAGAGAGAAACATCGATCAGCTGCCTCCTGCACATCTCCCACTGGGGATGTGCCCGCAACCCAGGTACATGCCCTTGACCGGAATCGAACCTGGGACCCTTCAGTCCGCAGGCCGACGCTCTATCCACTGAGCCAAACCGGTTTCGGCTAACTCTCTTTTTTGTTACTAACAATTGCCAGATCTTTTTCCTTCCTTTATGCAACGTCATCCTTTATGTGTCTTTATATTTTAGTCGGTGTTTCTGATAAACAAGTAT